GTGTCCCACTAAATCAAATAAAACAGCACTTGGCAGGCAAGCAAGCAAGACAACTCGATTTAAAACAAAATGACCTCTAATTATATTGTTTATATTCTTGTTACCCTTTTCTGTTCCTGAACTGGTTTTGTTTGTTTGTTTGTTTGGTTTGTTATAGGGTACTAGCACTTGCAGGAGACAGCTAAAATGAGAAAGCGCCTTCCCTGGGGGTGGCCACAGCACTCTCCTCTCCACCAGTCTCCTCTGGGGATTTTGGGCATGGACTCACACGTGCCTGGCGTGTTTCTTTTAAGCCACCACGTCCAGGACTCAACCATGTCATCAGCCATGTGGGATCCAGCCACCTCAACCACTATGCCCCCGGTTCGCCCCTGAATTGTTTGATTTTAACAGATTTAAATATATCTTATTTACCAATGTGATAGATCCATTATATTTACCAATATAATATACATTATATACCAATTTAAATATAGCATGTTACCTACCAATTTGCCAGCAACGTTTTGTTTTATGATTAAAAACTCGAGCTTCTGACAGCCTTATTTGTGTTGGTATCACTTCTACATTCATCGCTAGAAGGTTCTTAGTCCTTACAAGTTTCTTCATTGATACTTCCACTCATAAATATTCCAAAAACATAAGGTTTAAAGTGATTTTTCTGTTCTGGCTAAGCCTAAGAGAATACTGGGCCTGCCGGAGATTTCAAAGAATGGTTGTAATTGACTGAGGGAAAGAACTGTGCAATCTGCATTTCTTACCATACTTACTGTTCAACGTACGGAAAGTAAGGGGGTAGGGAGTGTGAATTGTCCACCCACTCTGCACTGATGGGCTTGTTAATATCAACTGTTTTTCATTTTTTTAAAGAATTACTTTGATTTAACTTTATTTATTTATTTATTTTTAATTTGACCAGAGAAGGACAAGAGTGTGTGTGTGTGAGAGAGAGAGAGAAAGTGAGAAAGCAAGCCACCAGGTCTAGGACTCGAACTGTGGTTGGCCATGTGGGAATCCAGCACCCTCAGCCACTACACCACCTACTGGCCCCCTTTTTGTTTGAAAATGTGCTATAGGGCATATGCACTCACGGGTGAGACAGACAGAGGGAAAGTGAGAAAGCACCCCTTCCACACAAGGGGGATGGCTATGCTGCAGTCCCTCCTTCTTTCAGGATTTGGTGCCCAGCATATTTTTTCAAGCCACCAGATCTGGGACTCTAACCACACAATAAGCAGTATGGGATTCAGCAACCTTAACCACCATACCACTGGCTAGCCCCTATATTCGCTTTAGAAAACACTTAATGCGGGACTAGCAGGTGGTGGGCGTGGTGGTTAAGGTGCTAGACACGCCCACATGGCCAACCGTGGTTCAAGTCCTGGACCTGGTGGCTTGCTTTCTCACTTTCTCTATCTCTCTGTCTCTCTGCGGTCAAATTAAAATAAGTGAATGAATAAATAAAATTAAATAATTTTTTAAGAAAATAAAAACACTTAGTGAAAATTTCCTATAAATTTACAAGTCATTTATCCATGAACCTAATAATCTAATTTATTCTAATATGACTTTTCTAGATCTTTCAAAATTGAATGTCACATATAAAAAAGCATTGTATTATGACCACTCCCCAAATCCCCTGCCTTCCCATATTTCTCCCCTAGCACCAGGAAACAGCAAGATGTGGTCACTTAATGGGACTGTCATTTAATGAAATGGTCCTACCCAGGCATTCCGGGTGATCTGGAGGAAGAGAGAAGCCATCCAGGTGGATCTGCGAGTGGGAGAAGTGAGTTTTAACCAGGTGTTGCATCAGACCCCAGCCTCCTCTGCAGCTTCAGCTCCCACCCCTGGACATCGACCCTGGCAAACACACACCACACTTGGCCTCAGAGCAAACCTCTCACTGCCCCTGAACACCGCCCTGTCAATCCATACCTTGCTCTGTGCTGTTCTCTACCTCCTTACCTTTCTTACAAACTGAGCTTGAATGTCACCTGTCTGTGCATCCCCCACCCCCGCTATTCCGCACTCTAAAACCTTGCGCACGCGTTCCTGTATTCTCCCCTACTATGACACACATCTCGTAGGAGCATCATAATCTGTCCATTTCTTCTATCAGACCTTGACTTCTAGAAACTGAGAGCCTGGCATGCTTCTTCCAGTCACCAGCACACTGCATGGTCCGCAGCAGGTGCCCTCAACGTTTGGAGCATAAATAAGTGCTGTCGTTGCTGCTATGAGAACAAAAGTTTCTTCTGCATCACCACTGTGGTGAGTTTAGATGTCCTAAAGTCCCCAGCTCAGGCCTTTCCCTCAGCCCTGTCTCTCTGCAGGCTTTTGCTTATTGGCAGACCAACTCCCGTGCTCCAAGCCTCTGAAACCACGTGATAACCTTGTTGCATTGCAGCTGCTTACCCTTTGAGGGTTGTCACTGCCTACATTTTAAGCTGCGCCTCCCCTAACTAAACTGCCACGTGCTACTGAGCCTGATAAAATGCAGGGAGAAAATATCCAATCTCGACATGTACCGCCGGGTTCTCTTGTAAAGGGCCCACTAGTCATTTTTTTCGCAGCACCTACTCCTTTTTTTTTTTGGAGAGATTTTCACTGTAGGGCGCATGCGCTCGCCAGACAGACAGAGAGAGACAGAGAGATAGAAAGCGAGAAATCACTCCCCAGAGGGGATGGTCACGCCACAATCCCTTCTCCTCCATTCTCCTCTTGGGATCTTGGGCACGCACGCA